GAAGGAGGAAAAGCGACGGGCGCCTGTTCCGGGGCTGCCCGCAGAGAAGATTGGCGTGCATACAGAACCCCAGGTTTCATAAATGCTTCATATCAGAAAATGAAAACGTGGCAGCTGTGTGAGCGCACCAGCAGTCAGGAAACCAGGCGTCGGGAGCCACCTCCACAAACTGGCATTTTTCAGTCATTTTCTTGCTTTTATTTCTCAACTTAATCCCAACGTTCACTGCCTCCCTGTTGCTTTCTAAAATAAACCTAACCTTTCACTCTGTTCTCTCTCCACTAATGCTAACTTTAAAGAGCATGGCGAATTCTTGGTAGAAGCCACCTCTTAAAGACAGATATTTATCTCCAGCTTCATGAGAGAGACTTTAAAAAGCATCACTTGCCAGGAGGGAAAAAAAAGTCACTTTTAGCTGCCTTGGACTCAAGCCTGTCTACTGCTGTCTATCCCCATTAGGAAATATTTTTGTCCTGAGACATGGGGGCTCCAGAAAGGGCTGGGTGGTAAGGATCATTGGTTTGCTTCCTCTTTCATCAAGTAATTGTCGCGTTTGCAACTTTCCCCAGGTCTGTATCAGGATCTCCCGAGCTAGAATAACCTCTTTCTTCATCAAAGACACGGGGGCCCATTCCCATAGGCAAAGTGAAAACTCCAGGGGCTGCCTGCAGACAAAAATAAAGTTTCTGCATGTTTCTGTCTTTACAGCACCCCCCCAGGACAGCAGCCCAGTACCCACCTCCTTACCTTGGCCTTCACATCATTCTTTTGTCCTCAAGATGCACCATCCTCCTCTAACCCCAAATGAATCTAAGAAATCTGACCTCAGGGCCAGTGTTGTGCAGCTGCTTGAGCTTCTGCCCGTAACACATCCCACATGAGCAGGGGTTCAATTCCTAGCTGCTCTACCTCCAATCCAGCTCTCTGCTAATGCGCTTGGGAAAGCAGCAGAAGATGGCCCAGGAACCTGTGTCCCTGTCACCCACGTGGAGACCAGGATAGAGTTCCTGGCTCCTGGCTTCTTCCTGGCCCAGCCTCATCCTTTGCGGCATATAGGGAGTGATCCACAGATGGAAGGTCAAGTCTCTGTCTCTCCTCTCTGTCATTTTGCCTTTAAAATAAATACATCCTTTTTAAAAAGTTTTTGTAAAAAAAGAAAGCTAGCCTGTCCCTTTTCTTAACTTACATTCCACCCCATATTCAATCACTAACCAAATGCTATTCTATTTCTACCCTCAGTGTCTTCGATCACAAATCTCCTCACCAGCATCTCTGCCCCTCCCTAGCTTGCTAAGCACAAAGAACTCACTACAGGTCTGAGGATGAAAGTCCTTAGAAACTAAGTGGCATAACAGGGCCAAAACAAGGGTGAGGCAAGAGGCACGCTTGGGATCGTGCAAGTAGGAGACAGTAAGAATGAGCACCAGCTGGATTTTACGTCCTAGCCACCTCTTTTGCCCCAAAATAGGCTGCATTTTTTTAATTTTCCACAATATATTCTATATTATTTTCTTCTTTTAAAGATTTATTTTATTTGAAAAACAGAGTTACAGAGAGACGCAGAGGTAGAGGCAGAGAGAGAGCTCTTCCATCCATTGGTTCACTCCCCAAATGGGTGCAAAGGCCAGAGCTGTGCTGATCCAAAGCCAGGAGCCAGGAGCTTCTTCTGGGTCTCCCACGTGGGTGCAGGGGCCCAAGGACTTGGGCCATCTTCCACTGCTTTTCCAGACCATGGCAGAGAGCTGGATCGGAAATGGAGCAGCCTGGACTCGAACCAGCATACAAATGGGATGCCGGTGCTTCAGGCCAGGGCGTTAACCCGCTACACCATAGCGCCGGCCCCTACATTATTTTCAAACTCTGTATGTGTTCATTCAATCATTGCACATGTGTCTCTGCATGTCATAACATTCATGTGCCATGCCTGGGCAGCTGCATGAATGGACGATCTTGCTCATGGCTAGGGAGAATAAGAGAAGAAATAGTTATGTTTTGTGAGTTGCCATTTTTCTTTGTGACTTTTCTCCCCTGTCCATATCACCGGATTTCATTCCCAGGTTTTCTGTGAAGACAGAAGCATGTTTTTGTCATCACAGGGTACCCTTGACACTGCAGGAGGCTCAGTCAAGTAATGAACACAGGAGACAGGCAGGCTGTCAGCTGCAGAATCGGGAAGTACAGCAATGGCCTCCAGTGGTGAGGAGGGTGATCACAGACGGAAGTCATGTGAGCCACAAGGCACATCCTATTAATAGTGGATGGATCAACACTTGCCAATGATTTATCTTTTGCATAAATTAGAGCAGAGATAGGGGATCGCCACAACACATCTTCACCCCCTTTTTTGGTTCCTCAGCTTCATAAAATGCTTTTCTGGGGAGCAAGGCTGGGTGGCTTTACCACTGGCTCCCCCAGCACTGCCTTGACCTACAGACCCAGGCAGGTGCAAGGTGCCACTATCCTTCACATCAGGAGAGACAGGCTGAGAGCAGTGGCTCAGGGAGTTGACCTTTGTAAACTCAGGAGGCCACACAAGTTATGATTTCTCCAATACCCAGAGTGTTCCTCTTAGAGAAGTTTCCCTGGAATTAACTGCATGGATTCAGGCTCCTTACATCTCCTTTGTGCTCACAGAATACACGGGCGTCCTCCCCACCACCAGCTTCTCATCCCCGTCCTTGATTGTAAGGACCTTTGCCTGTTGTCTCCCTCTTTTGTCCACTGGATTGGCTCTCACCTTCAAGATGATGGTGCTGGATTTATTGGTTCCTTTAGGTCATCTCCAGGCCACCTCAGTAACTGTCACACTACTGAGTGCTCACACGCACAACCCGTTTTGATTGCTTTTTCTCTACCTTTACAATTGTTGACCACCAAGAGCTGTTCATGTGAGGCTGTTCTTTCCTAAACACTGTGGTTCCCTCCAGTTTTTGTGTGAATTGTGACACCCATGAGAAGTCCCGGTATGTTGACCACAGTCTTCCATGTTTTTCTGAGTGCATAGTGGTGTCACAGAGAAGCATAGTCTTTGGAACCTGACAGATGTAGATTCAAACCTAGTCCTACCCCATGATACCTGTATGATCTTTGTCACTTTTTAATACATGTATTTTACTTTGAATTGATACATTACAGTTGTGTGACTTTATGGGGCTCAGTGTAACATTTCAATACGTATTTGCAATCTGTAATGATCAGATGGGAGTAATTGGCATAACCATAAAATATTTATCATTTCTTTGTGCTGGGAACATTCAAAGTCCTCTCTACTAGTTATTTTGGAGTGCATAATTAATTGCTGTCAACCATAGTTATCTTACTGTGCTACAGAGTATTAGAAGTTATTATTCCCACCAAACTGCACTTTTGACATCAATGTGATCATCAATAAAAATAAATAACAAACTCTACTTCGCAGAGTTTTTACAGACTCTGCCTATGAAGTAGTTTGCACATACACACACACACATACACACATTCTTTCCTTCTCTCCTTTGCTATCCAAAGTAGAGGCATCTAGGATCAGGGAGGTACTGTAAGTCTTCTTCACATGGCCTTTTCACACATTGTTGGCACCAGTGTTTCAGCACTAGATACCTCTTGCTGGAAACATCTGGGTGTCCTGAAAATAGAGTTTGAACCCACCTAAACTTATTTTCAACATAGCCCTGCAGAAGAATGATAATAAAAAGGCAGAAAATAAATAATGAAAAAAATGACTTAATAAAAGAAGGGGAGCTTATAAGTGAATTCCTGTCAGCCTGTTATTTTTCCAGCTGCTTTGATTTGGTTGCGGGGTTACGTGATCAGACATGGGTAATGTTTTTCCCAGTGAGTTCGCTCCTAAAAAAAAAGCAACAGAGTACCTAGCATCTGGTCTCTGTCTTTGCAGAGGTAATATCCCATACTCATAAATCCAGTAGAGCATTCCAGCTACCTGTTATCATGAAATGGGCTAAATATACCACAAATGACGATTGCATCTTTTGATCCTAAGGGCCAAGAGAGACGAGAGCTTTCCTGTCATCTGGGAACAAGGGGACACAGGCTTGTGTACCCCAGAAGGAAGGAAAAGGTGCAACATGATGCCTCACTTTAACCCCTCCCACCCCAAGTTTAAGCATTTTTTGAGATGTGTTAGCTGAGTTGACATTTAAGCAGATGGTGATGATGTTGGAAATCAGAAGAAATGTTCCTTCTCATGGTAACACCCTCAGGCTTAAGCATTTGCTATTTGACTTTGGTGAATCAACCTTGATTTAGATGATTATGAATTGGAGGTCAGAAAAAGATTTATGAATTTGAAGGATAATGGCTGCACAGTGGCAAGAGAGAGATTCCCCTCTCCACCTCCCACTCAAAATGCCACAACATTTGGGAACTTTCTCTGTTACAAGCAGAAGTTCTTACATCAATGGGACCAAAATGGTGAGCACCTCCCACAGAGCTGCTAGTGGCAGAAAATTTGCTATAACCCCTTCAACACCTCTCTCTCTGCAACTGGCTACTCTTGGAAATATGGCAGTGGCTTTGCTGTGAAGATTGTTATCTTTAACACAGAATTTGCTTTTCAGGGACCTTAGCTCTGCCTCACAGATGGAACGGAATTGTGAAATTGGAGGACAGATGCTCTTTCCTTACTCTCCCTGCCTGGTGATGTGGATCAGTAGTGACAGGACTTTAGACCTGTTAATCTTGAGTTCCAGTTTGGGCAGGGAGAGGAGAGGACATGGAGGAGAAATGCAGACACTCATGACAGACATTAGGACAGGAGGAGACACGATTGAAGACTGCAGACATACATGGCATCAATAGAATTAATAACTAGTCTTGGAGCCAATTCATTTCTTCTCATACTTTCCTTATTGGCAGGATATGTCATTTTCTATCTGAGGTCTTATGTATTTCCTGGCTGAACTGATCTCAAGATCCTGAGAGAGACAAGGGCCTTCATCAGAGATGCATTCACTTAAAATCCACTTCTGTCTTTTCTCTTCCAGGTAGCTATAGATTTCACTGCCTCAAACGGGGACCCCAGGAACAGCTGCTCCCTGCACTACATCCACCCATACCAGCCTAATGAGTACCTGAAGGCTTTGGTGGCTGTCGGGGAGATTTGCCAAGACTACGACAGGTAGGAGCCTTCAGGTGGGCTGGAGCCTCATCGCCTCTCCCGTGGGCTCCCACAGGCCTTGGCTCATCTAGCATGGGAGTGGAAATGCAGTCCATGGACTGCCACACGAAGGCTCAGGAGAGAGCAGAACAAAATGCAGCCTGCACATTTCATCCACTCCACACTCAGAGCCACTGAGACTGTGCCCTGGCTGCCTTGCTCACTAGGCAAAGGCCATTCTCAGCTTACTTCTCTTACCTGGCTTGCAAGACCACTGGGTGGCAATTTTAGCTGCCATTTGTTAAGTCTTAGAATGTGCCTTGCTGCCCAGCGTGTGTTCCTGGATTCTCAGCATTCCAGACCTACTGAATTCCATGTCGCATTTTAACAAGATCCCCGGGCAATCTCTGCACACCTTGGAGTTTGAGAAGTATAGGTTTATTGGACATCATTTCATCGACTCCCCACGTGAGCTTTGAATAGCAGGAGCAGTTTAAATAAGAGAGAAACCGTGCAGGGTTAAGTAATTTGTGCTGTGTCACACAGCCACAGGCACATGAACCCAGGCCTATCCCACTCCACAGTGTAAGTTCTTAGTCACCAGATTTCACTTCTGGTAACTTCAGCTGAGGGTGTATATCTGCCCATGTGCACATATGTGGTCACATATGCGAGTCTGGGTGTGTACGTTTGCATGATTTTGCGATGAGACCGGTATTGTATTTCTTTGTCCTTGATGGTAAATATTGACCTTCCCCACCAAGAGAATTCCCTGTGAGAAATGATTTATGTAAATTACATTAGGCTGGGTTTATTCTACCTGTCTGGGATTTCCAGATGGAGGTGAAGGAATTCAGGCATGTGCTTCAGAATGAAGTAGCACCAATGTAAATATAAATATGTGTGAACCTCAGGTGGCTCCATGGCACTATTGTGATAAAAATCTAGTTAGTAACAAGAATCCATGAATTGACCTTTTAAACCAGGAAAATACAGAAAACAACCGTATCCTCCCACTTTTGGAAGACTCATAGGGGACAGCGTGATTTCCTTCTTTCTAATTCTGTAAGTCATGACAACCATATTTAAACCTGTTAGCCCAGAGTGTACAGAGAAACGAGCAGAACAGGTAGTGGGAAAGGTCCAGGCTCTGTCCTACCAGCTGGCTCTCTGGATTCCGCTCACTCCTCACCAGTAACTCTGACGAGGTGTAAGGGCAGATGGGGAAAGAAGGAACCGTCCAGACAGCTGAGAGCACTTCCAACACTCAGGGCCTGGCTGACACTCCCTCCCCTCCTGTCCATCTAGGGAAAAAGACAAGAGTCACTTTAAATTCCCTTGTTGAAGTGACACTTCTTACACTTGACCTTAAGGTATTGACTATGAAGATAACCTGAGTTTCAGCTCTGATTTTTTTCAACCCCAATAGAAGAAGGATCTGGGGAGATATTATATCAGATGGAGACAGTTTCTATCTCCCTTTGCCAGAGAGAGGAATTACTTGACCATCTCCACTGTGTCAGAAACGTCTCCAAAGTTTCAAACAGTACTTTTCCTCTCTCTCTCTCTCTCTCTCTCATCACACATACATACACACATGCGCGCACACACACACACACACGTGCGTATAATAGTCTAGTATAAAGATGTGTGCACATGTTAAAAGATAGGAAAGAAGGGGAGGAACGTCGTTGGGATTCTTTTAAATCTTGAAATCTTATTAAAGATATGAAATAGGTAAAAAGCACTTAACACACATCATACAGTAAATGCTTACTTAAAAAGTCAGCTGAATCTGCAAGGAAGACATCAGCACAATAATGAACTCCAAAAAATATTTACAGTTGCCCAGAAATTAAGGTGCTGAAGCTCCGAGCTGCAGATGTATTGGATGGTGGGAACTGGCTGCCCATATCTTTGTGTCCTGACTGCCTCACATGCAAAATACAGATTCTATAGTCAGCATGACATGAGCAGCTTTTAAAGCTTTAATCCCTTTAGAATATAATCCAGACAAAGTCTGGGGAGCATTTTGAATTCCCTCGAAGATGCAGATTCAATATAAAAAAAATAAGATAGGGTTCCTTAGGAGTTATTTGAAAAATCATCATAAATGATTCTCTTTAAAATTGTAATACGGTGCGACTGAAATGATCATTTCCAGTTGATCCCAAAGCATCACATCTCTGCAACTCAGGGGAGCAGTACTTCTTTCCATATAAAGAAGGCAGCTCGACTGTAAAGCGGCCAACATCTGAGGAGGAAAGGGGGGAGTGGACAGTCTCAACAGTCTTCCACATAGGCTCCCTAGAAGCATGTGTTGTGCAGGCTGCTGGCCTGAAAACTGATGAAATTCTGCAGTTTCTCCTTTGTGTTGGTGGAGAGACAATAGACAGGCAGAGTCGGGAGAGTCCAAGTCGGCTCCAGCATTAATTTATTCTCACATCGCAGTCAGTGAGGTTGGTGCTCAAAAAGAAACACTTGGATCAAAACTGACAGAAGGCGCTGGGCCCCTCTTGCAGCATACAGAGGCTCATAGTCCCGAGAGCCCCAGCAGCTCCTCCTGGCCTCTGGCAGCCGAGGGTTTTCTCTCTGCCTTGTTTGGTCATTGCTGCTGGGGTGTTATGAGCTGATCCGTGAGGCGAAACAGCTGGGGTGATGCGCAGAGCTCTGCTCAGGTGGCCTTGGCAGAAGCTTCCCCCAAACAGCCTCGTCCCAAGCCCAGAAGGCGATCCTGGCAGCCCCTTCTGCCCTTTGGCCTCCGAAAGACACAGATGAGCATTCTCTGTCTCTCCTCCCGGAGCACACTCAGCCACTCAAGCACAAACACACACACTCCCAGGCCCGCCCAAGCCCAGGCGCTCCCCGGTGACTACAGTACTTCCGCACGTGCTGTTTGGCATCCTGACCTTTTCAGGCTCTTGAGGGCCCAGGTGACATCGTTGGGGCCAGCAGGGATGAGGGACTCTAAGAAAGAGGCTGGCCTCTCTGCTATCAAGAGAGCCTAGGGACTGGGGCCATTTATTGGAAGTAGAGCCTGCCATTTTATAGACATGGCCACGGCAGAATAAAGCGGGGTTGTCAGCCACTGAGGCAGGAGTCTTCACAGGGTGCTAGGTACAGCGCCGAGCTACAAAGTTAGACCTGAAACCCAGTGTGACGGGGACTCCTAAGTGGAGAACACTGGGTTAGTTATCACAGACATTTCTCCCCCACCATGCCACCTGGCCCTCTCTGCCAGCGCCGGCCACTGGCTCTCAGTATTGGCCACACATCAGCTGCCTAAGCCCCATCCCAGACACTGATTTAATTGTTTGGTGTGTGTCTTGGAAATCGGGATCTTTTTGTTCTAATCTATGTCCAGGATTGAGACCCAGAGATAAGGCAGGGAGGGATGAGCTGGATGGAAGGACCCAGGTGGGCATCCTCTAAGTGCTAGGCCCTTCATGTGCTGGTGTAAAAACAGAAACATTAGGAGCACAGCTCCCCCAAAGGGGGTCACGCTCTCACGGGAGAGAAATGCATGCAGGTCATCCGACCTTGTCCTGTGTGCGGATGGGAACTGCACAGCGTGAGGTCTTAGCTCTGCCCTGTGTAGGAGAAGGGGGAGAGCAGGGTATCCAGAGCATGGTGATTTCCGAGCTGATCAGAATTCTCTCCTTTGCACTGATTAGAATACAGATGAATTTGTTCTCATTATTTTGAATCATTAGGCCCAGATAGCGTCAAAAGGAAGGATAGACGGAGCATGTGGTCCAGGGACAGGTGATCCTGGGTTCAAACCCCAGCTCTGCTGCCTTTATCCTCATGAGATTGGTAGTCTCAGGGTCTTGATTTCTTTGGCTGCAAACTCGAGAGGTGGCTAAGGTTCCTTACAGACAGGCTGTTTGGTAGTAGCGATGAAGTGACTAAAGGGGCAGGCATTTCCATCTGGGGAGTGAACTTGACTTTGTCAGACTTTGTCTCTGTCTCTGCCTCTCACATGAATAAAGAAAACAAAGGAGCTAGCTAGCACAAGTTCTGCCTGTTGTAGAAACTCCATAAATTCCTTTTTTAAAAAAATGAAGTGAACACAAAAGATGAATTTAGTGTCAGATCTAACGGTTGTTTGAACCAATGACTTTTAACATCTTTTCACTCATGTATCCCTAATAATAGTTTTATAAAAACATATAAACCTCACATTTTTTCCATTGAAGTCCAACATTTTTTATCATGAGTGTAGATACTGACAAAGAATGAAAAATCCTCATGTATTTTAAGTATAGACATATAGAAATACAACTGTTACTAACTCTGTGACCATAACCAGTAAAATCTAAATGCCATAGTTACTTGATAACCCCCGTACATGAACAAGAAGCAGAAATTTAGCCCAGTGGTTAACAAACCTTTTGGGATGCCTGCATCCAATATCATAGTACCTGGGTTCACTCCCAATTCTGGCTACCTGGAAGGCAGCAGATGATGGTTCAAGTACATGTACAAGGCTCTGGAACGCCATCTGGATGTTCCTTCAGAAGTGGCAAGGACCCAAGCATTTGGTCCATCATCCGCTGCTTCCTCAGGCGCATTAGTAGGGACTTGGATCGGAAGCAAAGCAGCCAGAACTTGAACTTGTTCTCCTATAAAGGATGCCAGTGTCACAGGAAGCAGTTTAACCCACTGCGCCATAATGCCAGCCCCGTATTATTAACATCTTATATTAACATAATGCATTGGTCACAATTAACAAGCCATACCCAGCTTCCCCTGTTAGTAACATCTCATATTCATATGATTTATCGGTCACAATTCCTCTCAGAAGCAACTGGTGGTTAAGAGTCCAGATAAGCTAGAAGAGGAGCCAGTGCTATGGCGTAGCAGGTGAAGCTATTGCCTGCAGTGCCAGCATCTCATAAGAGAGACTGTTCAAGTGCTGGCTGCTCCACTTTTGATCCAGCTCTCTGCTATGGCCTGAGAAAGCAGTAGAAGATGGCCCAAGTGTTCGGGCCCCTGCACCCACGTGGGATACCCAGAAG